AATCGAAGCAACCAAATCGAAGAAACTGAATCGAAGCAACAAATCGAAGCAAAGCAACGTCGAAGCAACGCAGCAATCAACCAGCCAGTAGCTACCTCAACATTGCATGTCCACCTTCCCTCTCATGTTTGGTAAGAGCCTTCAAGATCTTCGTTACAGTCTTCTCCTGCCTGTAAACAGTGTAAACAGTGCTGATGGCATCTTGAGCATTACCAGACCTGGTCCTTATAATTCTTTCAATGCATTGCCAAAAGGGCTTCCTTCTGCAGTACACAAACTTGTTTTCCTTGGAGTTCCTTTCAGCTGCAGTGAAGCTCTTTGCTGGTTTGTTCCCAGCAAATCCGCACTCCCATTCATTCCAGATAACATACAAGTTTGCAGGATTCTTCTGGAGGATCRCTCTTTGCTCCTCCTGTTCAACACCCCCAGCAGCACCAGCACCAGCTCTTCCTGGATTAACAAGGCGGGGCCTCACTCTCCTCCTAGCAACTGGTGCCATTGCAGCTCGATTACAAACAGCTTGAAGCCTCTTGTTTCTTTGCTTCTGCAAGGCAAATTCTTTTATCAGCAGGTTCTCCATGTTCRACATCMTCCCTTGTAAGTCATGCATCTTTGCATACATAACATTCATCCACTGTTGGTGAGATCTTCTCATTCCCATTGCAGAACTTCCACCAAAAGGACCATTTCCAGCAGCAGCAGCTTCCCCCTCAACCTCTGGTTCATAAAGCTCATCAAAATGTATTTGCCCAGCTTGTTCCATTGGGATAACTTCAGCTTTTCGAATAGGATTGGCACCATCATCAACTGCAACACCAGCACCACCATTTGCTCTAACTCTTTCATTCAGCTGTACAAAAGATGCCATCACATTCCTTCTGATATCATCTGGAACAACACCAATTAGAGAAGGTTCRAAKSMWGCCCAMAGYAACGCTTTTCCTAAAATCACTGCAATCTGATTACCAAACGWACTCGCAATATTTGGAGTAACATKTTCAATTATCCAATCATCTGTTATACCAGAGCCATCTGCTGGCTTGTACAGACAGAYTCCATCAAAACACAAATCTTTTGCAACGTTAATATCTGGCCATAGCAATTGCATATCCGTGTAGCGATCTTGTTGCATCCGATTGGTTTTCCATCTAGCTCTATAATTAATATCATCCCT